GTAAAAATGAAAAATATTAAAAAAATTACAGATATTTATTAATAATTAAAATATTATTAGATACTTATTAATTCTAACTCATTAATAATTTTGAATTTAATAAAATAATTATATATAATAATAAAATAACCAGTCGATTTCAATCTCTTTGACTAAAAATTTTTCCATTTTATTAATATTTTTTAATAATGTTAATGTATCACAAGGAAAGGAAATTTTAATAAAATTTATTTATAAAAAATAAGTTTTATGTTGGAAAATTGATATTCAAATATTTGTAATTGAGAAGGGGGGGGGGGGGTAAAATTTTTATAAGCTTAAAATGATATTTATGAAAACAGTCAAATTTGCGATGAGGGGAGGGGGGAAATCCCCCCCACCTTCCCATTGGTTACGCGCCTGGAATATACAAAATTTAAAACAAAATAAATGTATAAAGCGAGAAAAAAAATAAGAAGTATAAAGAGTGAAAATAATTATAATTATTTTTTATATGCTCAGACGATTTTTAAAAATTTTATATATTATTTATTTTCCCAGCCTTGCCTTGATGAAAGAAAAATATGTTATTTACTTTTCTTTTTATTTTACTTTTTCTTCCCTATTATTTTGTATCATATTTTATTAAAAAATTGCAAAATTATTAAAAGAAAATAGAATATAAATTTTTTATTTGATATTCCATTTTAATAATTCAATTTTTATATATAATATAAATAAAACAATAAAATATTTTTCTTTGTGTATTATAACTATAAATAAAAATATAAAATAAAAAAAAACAAAACCAATCCCTTATTTTTTAGGTTATATATTTTTTTTCTATTTCCTTTTTCCATATTTGTATTATAAACTTTTATATTTCATGTCGTGAATACCCGCGAAATCCAAATTAAAATTGTTGTAGCCGCTGAAAAAAAGAAGAAATAAATTTAATATAATATACTGAATGTCAGTCATTTTATGAGGTGAGGAATTAATATTCCTTGGGGGAGGAAGGGAGAATGGGAGATCAGAAGATGCCAGCTGGGAAGAACAAAGAATGGAGGAGATTCAACTATTTTTATGAATATGAAACCTTTATAATTATTTAGATGTGAACATAAATAAAATATGGTATAACATGAAATTAAACAATCTGTTTGTTCTTTGGTAATGTTTACTTTTGGTATTTATTTTATTATTAAGAAAGGATTGTTAAGTTATATTTTTGAGAGTGAAGGTTTGAGAGTAAAGGGCATTATATTATTTATTATTTTTCAATAACTATTAGTTAGTTGTCTGTTAGTCGAATAACATCACTACCCATATTGATAAATTGTGATGATAAAAATATTCCAGCCCCAAAAGACCTAAACCCGTCCACCTGGAATAATAATTTAGTTTATAATTAAAATATAATTAAATTAACTTTTATTTGACACCCATATCAATCTTTTGAGTTGATAAAAATATTCCTGACCCCTCAAAACCTAGATCTGCCTATTTAGAATATTAATTATGATTACAATCAAAATATAATTAAATTAACTTTTATTTGACGCCCGTATCAATATTTTACGTTGTTGAAAATATTCCTGACCCCTCAAGACCTAGAACCATCCACTTAGAATGATAATAATGTACAAAACTTTTTATTTCATTTATTTTCGGCAAATAAAAAAAGAAATTTCTGAGAAGATTTTATAGTATATAGGGAATTAAGGAGGGGTTTTTTATTGGGTCAACAAAGATATATTTTTAAAAAGAGGCGATAGGAACAATTGAACCAAAATTTTTTTTTTTTAACTTGAGCAAATTATTTTTTTTTAAAGAAAGTAGAGATGTAAAATGTTAAAAAAAAAATACTGAACATTTGTTAAAATACTTGAGGCTTTAATTATTCCCCCTTTTTACGCATCGAATCGCAAATTAAACAAATTTTGCGAAGAAAAACCACAATGAACTCTTTTAATATCTATGAGATGAATGAAAAATGAAAATTAATTAAAAGGATTTTGTTAATTATTAGCGTGGAAAGAACAATGGAAGAAAAGGAGAGGTTAACAGTTTGGGAAATCAAGGGTTAATAGTAATAGGATAGAAGATTTAGTATTATAATTTTCTCGAGAGAATTTGTTAACTGCTTTTTTATAGCATATTTTTTTGGCGTTATATATTATTTTTTTAAATATCGACCACTTTTTTTTAAAAAAAAAACCACTTCAGTTTAAGCCACGATCAGTTGGGTCACTATCCTATACAATCTGAGTGGGATTCAACCAACAATTTTTTGGGGAGCTTTACTCCCTATATTTTCATTAAAATTCTCACATTTTTTAAAAAAATAAATAAATAATGAGAGTAAAACAAAATAGAAGAAATTTTATGAAGCAATGCTAAGATAATATGTTATAACCCAAAACATTTATTTATTATGATATCAGTATGTTAAATATTTGCTTTTTATTGCACATAATTTATTATTCAGTGTAAAATATATGGAATTGCACATTATAAATTAAATAATATCAAAGAGTGATTTGCTATTGCACATAATAATTATTATTCTGAGTAAATTTGGGATTGCTGAATATATTTGTTATAATAGGAAAGAGTGATATATATATATTTATAGTGGATTGAAAAAATGTATAATTAAAGCATTACAAAAGTAATAAAAAAAATGTCACTTTTTTCCTTCACACCCTCAATAATGATTTTAAAAAATTTCGCAAGGTAAGGTCATGCATAAGTAGGGAACTATTTTAAATAATATATGAAAGAAGAAATTAATAAGTAAAAATCTTTAGTATTATCCAAATCAAAATTTCTTGAAGAAAGGAATATATGAAAGCACTGATTTTAATTATATTACTATGGGGTTAGTTAGAGCTTCTTCTTAGAGGACATAATGAAGTTAGATAAACAATGATAGATGAATTATTGTGAAATAATCAATTTGTTTAAAGATTATGGTCCATTTTTAATGAAATATAAACCACCAATCAATGCACATTAATGTCCACTAAATCACAGGATTACCTTAAATTATATTGTTTCACAATTAATAGAAGCAGATTTCTGGTCTTGGTCTGATACTCACAATGTAAACTCATATGAGCAAGTTGTATGTATTATATAGGCTGATAATATAAAAACACCAAAAGTATCTTTTGAAGAAATGATGACTGGAATTAATAGTCATTGACAAAAACACTAATAAATACTCTAAAATAACAATTATATAAATGTTTTTTATGTTACTCAAACATATGATGAGACAATTGGGCACAGTATTGACAATATGACTATATATGTGCACTGCTATGATAAGCTCAATTGTCTTGGTCTCTTTCTATAAATCAATACCTCAATCAACCAGTTTTTTAGGCTTTGGCTACGCTTTCTTTTGGAATTTTGTTATCCAATATAAGAAATTTATTTATATGTATATAAATAAGTTAAAATTTAAAAACAGAGACCTGCAGAGGACCATTTGCCCAACCCATCCCGGATTTGGAAAAAATTGGCCCGACCCTGCCCGAGTTTTATATTATTTGACCCGGCCCGGATTTTTAAAAAAATATTTTGGTCTTTGTTTTTTAAAAAAATTAAAATATACCTATTCGCCATTTTAAGGATCGTTTTTCGGCGAATATGGAATCCATATATAATAACTTTTCAAATTATCTTATCTCCCCATCTGAGGTAAAAGGAGGGAGTTTGAATCACCACACTTTTAATTCGACCGATCGATGGTAATCCTCCTTATTTCCTGTTCCTCTTCCGTATCATTCATTTTGCTCTCTCTCTCTCACTGTCTCTCTGGCACCATACCTGATTGCCTGAATTTGGGACAGAGAAATGGGGAGATAAAATGATACTTATCTTAAATAAATTTTTCCTTAAAAGTGTAATATATTTTAAATATTGAGTTTATCTTTTTCTTTTTAATGATTAGTTGAATAATTAACTTGAATAATATTTTACTGGAAATATTTTATAAGGATCGAAAAAATGGAAATAGGAAATATGATAAGTGAATGTGATATTATGATACACAATTTTTAAATATTTATTTATATAAAATTTCTATAGAATAATGGCGATTTAAAATATTCGGCCCGAACCGGGTATTTAAAAATATTTTAGGCCTGGCCTTGCGCCAAGCCTGTAGGTCTTTGAAAAATATAGATACCACGAGTTCTACACGGTAAGGATATCATATAAAAACGATAAAGGAGGTGAAAATGATCTTCTCTCTCCATACATTTCCTATATCTATAAAATAAAGCTATCGATAATCTAGTGAAAGCAAATAATATTTTAAACATTTTATAATTCGCTATCATTTATATTTAAAAAATTTTTATGTTCAAATATATCTAATTTTTTGCAAAAATCAGATACGATGATGTCATCAGTAGTTGCTGAATCTCCTGTCATTTCTCCATCAGAAAATGATTTTTATTTTTCTTTGGGAATCTATATTTAATTTTATTAACTAAAATGTTTTTCTTCTGGTTTTGATAAATCGTTTACTCCTGTTTTAATGTTCATATTGATTGATTGATTAACAATTTCAACATCTATTGTCATAAATCTAAATAAATATAATTTAATTTTTCGTATGCTGGTTTGTTTGCATTTCGTTTTGTAACAGGAAAAGACATCTTAAATTTTAGGGATAGATGATATTAAAAAGTAATACTATATTCAAAAATTAACCAAGAAACGATTTTAATTTAATTTTTAATTAATAAATAATTATATTTATCTAATTAGGGTTAATATGATAAAATAAAATTTCTAAAAAAATTTTAAATTATAAAAAAAAATCCAAATTTTCAGAGGGCTTGAGCCACTATGCCCCTCTAATAATGCTACTGACCATGATGTCATATTTTTACCAGACCGATCCGATTTGTAAATTTGCTTGAAATGGGTTGTTGCCAAGCTTGCTATAAAATTAAGGTGTATATTCTTTTTAATTTTATAAATATATTTTTAAAAAATAGGGACGCTTTGTCAGAAGAGAACAAGCAGGCAATGAAAGACAACCTTCGTATATATTTTTCCGACAGAACGGCGCCATTTGACATTGTCGACAAAAGATTAATCTTATTGGTATGAAAGGGAAAAAAAAATAATAGGAATACAAAACTCACAAATTTTGTGTAGGAGCGGGGTGCCACGACGAAACAAACTAAAATGAGGAAGGGTGGAAGAATTAAGATGATTGATATGTAATTTAATAAAATTTCCAAGTTAAACTTAAAAAAATTTTGTTATTAGAGCATTTGTTTTACTGTTAATGTTTTCCTTCTTGTTTTTATCATATCTTCATAATTTTATTCTTTAAATCTGAAAAAAATTTTTTTTTTAAATATATGTCGTATTGGGATATGGAATCTCGTGGGATTCGAAATCCCAACGTGGGGATTCGAGATCTTGAATCCACGTTTTTTTGGAATCTTTTTTTTTAAATTAAAAAAATATTAAGATTCCGAATCCCCATGAAAAAAATAATATTTTTTATTAAATATTTTATCTTTATATAAAAATTTTAATATTTGGAAAATTTCTTAAGAATTTAATAAAATCTTTCTTTTCTTTCTTATTACTTTAAGTGATCTTTCTTTTCTTTCTTTCATTACTTTCCTAAAATTTTTTATTTTAATATTTGGAGAATTTCTTATGAATTTAATAATCATCTGTATACATTTTAATACAATATTTCAATTTAATGAATAAAATTGACTAGTTTATAACTTTATTTCGATATTTTTATTTTGTATAAATTTCAATAATATATTTCAATTTATTTCGAATTAACCCTTCCCAACAAAGGTTAAAAAAATCACCTAAACTTTAAAGATGGGGTCTATTTTATCCCCTAATAAATACAAAATTTAAGATTTTATGCTAATTTTCCTAAAATTGCTTAGATTTTAAGACTATATTTCAATTTAATGAATAAAATTGACTCATTTAATACTATATTTCGGGTAGGTCGATAAGTCGAAAGGCTGCATGATACGAAAGGCTAAAAAATAATATTGAAAATAAAAATAAAGAAAATGATTAATGTGTAATTTGATTGATTTATTGCTTTTTTTACGAGAAAAATATTATAATAACATTACATTATAATATATTAAAAAAATGGAAATTTTAAGATCTTTTCAATTTTTTTATTAATTCTTTGAAATAAATTGCGGTTTTAATTTTATTTAATTTTATTAATTTTTAATTTATATTTTTAATTAAATTATATTTGGTTATTTTAAAAAAATGAATTATAATATTTCAATTTATTAATTCTTTGAAATAAATTGCGATTTTAATTTTATTTAATTTTATTAATTTTTAATTTATATTTTTAATTAAATTATATTTGGTTATTTTAAAATAATAGAATTTTTAAAATTATATATATAAAGTTTTTTTTCAAAACTAAATTGATAGTAAGTATAACGATATTGTGAGTACTGGATTAGGGAAAAGGCTAACATCTTAAACGTAATTTTAAGTATCTTTATATCATTCTACTCAGAATTAAATTTCCTATCCAATTATGCCTAGATGTATTTTTTTACGTTACCGGTTCAAAAAATAATATTTTTGTCGCCAAAACGTTCGAAGGGAAAAGGCTAACATCTAAAACGCAATTTTAAGTATTTTTATATCATTGAACTCAGAATTAAATTTCCTATCCAATTATGCTTAGATGTATTTTTTTACGTTTCCGGTTCAAAAAATAATATTTTTGTCGCGAAAATATTCGAAGGGAAAAGGCTAACATCTTAAATTTAATTTTAAAATTTTTTATATCATTGAACTCAGAATTAAATTTCCTATCTAAATATGCTTAGATGTATTTTTTTACGTTTCCGGTTCAAAAAATAACATTTTTGTCGCGAAAACGTTCGAAGGGAAAAGGCTAACATCTTAAGTTTAATTTTATAAATTTTTATATCATTGAACTCAGAATTAAATTTCCTATCTAAATATGCTTTGATGTATTTTTTTACGTTATCGGTTCAAAAAATAAATTTTAAAAATTTTTTGGTAGTAAAAACATTCAGTTGGAAAAGGCTAACATCTTAAACGCAATTTTAGGTATTTTTATATCATTGAACTCAGAATTAAATTTACTATCTAATTATGCTTAGATGTATTTTTTTACATTACCGGTTCAAAAAATAATATTTTTGTCGCCAAAACGTTCGAAGGGAAAAGGCTAACATCTTAAACGCAATTTTAAGTATTTTTATATCATTGAACTCAGAATTAAATTTCCTATCTAATTATGCTTAGATGTATTTTTTTACATTACCGGTTCAAAATATAATATTTTTGTCGCCAAAACGTTCGAAGGGAAAAGGCTAACATCTTAAACGCAATTTTAAGTATTTTTATATCATTGAACTCAGAATTAAATTTCCTATCCAATTATGCTTAGATGTATTTTTTTACGTTTCCGGTTCAAAAAATAAATTTTAAAAATTTTTTGGTGGTAAAAACATTCAGTTGGAAAAGGCTAACATCTTAAACGCAATTTTAGGTATTTTTATATCATTGAACTCAGAATTAAATTTCCTATCCAATTATGCTTAGATGTATTTTTTACGTTTCCGGTTCAAAAAATAAATTTAAAAAATTTTTTTTTGCTAAAAACATTCAGAGGGAAAAGGCTAACATCTTAAACGCAATTTTAAAAATTTTTATATCATTGAACTCAGAATTAAATTTCCTATCCAAATATTCTTAGAGGTATTTTTTTACGTTTCCAGTTCAAAAAATAAATTTTAAAATTTTTTTTGTGGTAAAAACATTCATAGGGAAAAGGCTAACATCTTAAACGCAATTTTAGGTATTTTTATATCATTAAACTCAGAATAGTGTATATTGAAAATTTCAGGGCTAAATCACAATATAAAATCTTTTTATAATAATAAAATTTAGCAACTAAACTGGTAAAACGATCTATAATGTAATGTTTTTATTTGATAAAAAACGAATAGAGAATTGATTTAAATCATAGTTTTCATTCAAAAAAACTGTCATTTATTTTAATTGCGTTTTAAATTAATTTGATATAATCATAACAAACCTACTGTGCGACCAACACTATACATTATGAATTTTAGCGTTCTTATTTCGGGGAGAGAAAGTTATATTAATTACCGTATATTCATTTAATTATGAATGTTGGGTAAAAATATAGAGGACAAATAGGCACTGGAAAGGATACCCCAAATCATTTATTTCCCCATCTTATTAACCTTTTCAAATATTTTCGTAAAATTCAGGTAATTTAGCCCTGTCTTTTTATCCGAAAAAATTTCCACCTTCTGTTTGAAATCAAATTAACAATAAAAAAATTTGTCAATATATTTGAGTAAGATTTATTTTATTAAAAAAATTAATTTCAATTATTCGAATCGAATGCAAATGGTAGATTTTATTATTCGTACGAATTCAAACACTATTCGATTCTAATTTATTTGTTTATTATAATTTTTTTTCTAAATTGTTGAAAATATTATTTACTTCCATACAAAATCACCGACATAATTATTCTTTCATATTTTTAATTATTATCCGTGATATAAAAATTTATATAATTAAACTTAAGATGTTAGCCTTTTCCCTTCGAACGTTTTCGCGACAAAAATGTTATTTTTTGAACCGGAAACGTAAAAAAATACATCTAAGCATATTTGGATAGGAAATTTAATTCTGAGTAGAATGATATAAAAATATTTAAAATTGCGTTAAAGATGTTAGCCTTTTCCCTTCGAACGTTTTTGCCACAAAAAAATTATTAAAATTTATTTTTTGAACCGATAACGTAAAAAAATACATCAAAGCATATTTCGATAGGAAATTTAATTCTGAGTTCAATGATATAAAAATTTATAAAATTAAACTTAAGATGTTAGCCTTTTCCCTTCGAACGTTTTCGCGACAAAAATGTTATTTTTTGAACTGGAAACGTAAAAAAATACATCTAAGCATATTTGGATAGGAAATTTAATTCTGAGTAGAATGATATAAAAATATTCAAAATTGCCTTTAAGATGTTACCCTTTTCCTATCGAACGTTTTGGCGACAAAAATATTATTTTTTGAAACGAAAACGTAAAAAAATACATTTAAGCATAATTGGATAGGAAATTTAATTCTGAGTAGAATGATATAAAAATATTCAAAATTGCATTTAAGATGTTAGCCTTTTCCCTTCGAACGTTTTTACCACAAAAAAAATTATTAAAATTTATTTTTTGAACCGATAACGTAAAAAAATACATCTAAGCATAATTGGATAGGAAATTTAATTCTGAGTAGAATGATATAAAAATACCTAAAATTGCATTTAAGATGTTAGCCTTTTCCAACTGAATGTTTTTACCACTAAAAAATTTTTAAAATTTATTTTTTGAACCGATAACGTAAAAAATACATCTAAGCATAATTGGATAGGAAATTTAATTCTGAGTAGAATGATATAAAGATACTTAAAATTACGTTTAAGATGTTAGCCTTTTCCCTAATCCAGTACTCACAATATCGTTATACTTACTATCAATTTAGTTTTGAAAAAAAAATTAAATAGAATATACATATAATTTTAATAATTTCATTATTTTAAAATAACCAAATATAATTTAATTAAAAATATAAATTAAAAATTAATAAAATTAAAATCGCAATTTATTTCAAAGAATTAATAAATTGAAATATTATAATCCATTTTTTTAAAATAACCAAATATAATTTAATTAAAAATATAAATTAAAAATTAATAAAATTAAATAAAATTAAAACCGCAATTTATTTCAAAGAATTAATAAAAAAATTGAAAAGATCTTAAAATTTCCATTTTTTTAATATATTATAATGTAATGTTATTATAATATTTTTCTCGTAAAAAAAGCAATAAATCAATCAAATTACACATTAATCATTTTCTTTGTTATTTTTATTTTCAATATTATTTTTTAGCCTTTCGTATCATGCAGCCTTTCGACTTTTAGACCTTGCGCTATATTTCGATATAATAAAAATATAAAAAAATAACAAAAAAAATAATATACCCGACTTAAGCAATAACCCATATTTTAATTTTTCTTTCTTTCTTATTACTTTCCTAAAATTTTTGAAAAAAATATTCACAAAAACAACAAAATTGAAAAAGTAAAAAAAAACAACACCAATATTTTTTTAAATCTAGCATTTTTTTTATATAATAAAAAGGTAACAAATTAAATCATGGGGAAATTTTCATATATTATTTTTTTTTTATTTATTTTTTTTAAAATATATATTTTTATTTATTATTTTTTTTAAATTTAAAAAAAAATCTTAAGTATATTTAAGAATTTAGAAAAAAAGAGTATATTTAAGAATTTAGAAAAAGAGTATATTTAAGAATTTAGAAAAAAAGAGTATATTTAAGAATTTAGAAAAGAGTATATTTAAGAATTTAGAAAAAAAGAGTATATTTAAGAATTTAGAAAAAAAAGTATATTTAAGAATTTAGAAAAACAGAGTATATTTAAGAATTTAATAAAAATAGGTATACTAAATAATTAATCAATTTATTTGAATAAACATAACATATACAATGTTAAATTTAGAAAACTTTGATATTGTATCTAAAAAATTTCCTTCAAAATCCACACGATATTTATTTATCAAAAAAAAAATCTAAAAATACGCCAATTGAAAGAAAAAGGTAACATTCAAAAATTTCTACCAAAATCCAGACAATCTAAAAAAAATATTAAAAAAAAAAAATAAAAAAAAAATAATATATGAAAATTTCCCCGTGATTTAATCTGTAATCAATAAAAATAAACTTAAACTCTATTCATTTTTCCCTTTAATCCCCTTTTATCTTTAATAATTTATTTTATCATATAAATGGAATTTCATGAAAACTCATTTTTTTAAAAAAAAATCCCCGAGCACAGATTCGTGGTTCAGATCATTTTTTACGTTTAATTATTCATAAATCAAAGAATATAGTATTAAAAATTATTATAAAAAATTATTTACTTGCTCAAAAGTATTGAATGCTTCTTGCATAAATACTAAAAATAAGAATTTAAATATGATTATATTTTATTAATTTTCATATCGTTTGGTATTATAGTTCAAACTTATTTAATTTTAAAAAGTACATTAAAACCAAACGAATAATTTAATTCAGTATCAGGCGCATACGCAGGAATTTGGTCTGGGGGGGGGGGGGATAATAAAATTTTTTAAGAAATATTATTGTTTTTTAAAAATATCAAGCATAAATTTATTAGGACTAATAACTATTTCTAATACACAATTATAAATTAATGTGAATTATAAAAAAATTATATGTAAAGAATCACTTAAATGACCCAAAATGAAATTTGAATTTTTTAAGCCTTTGCACAAAAAGTTTCTTAGGAATAATTGCATTTTGTATGTTATATATTTACAATGTAAAATTCAATCTTCGTTGTGATTGAGCTAATTTTTCAATTATCTCATCCTTGCTTGTCGTCAAATGCCTATGAATATTCAAAAGATCCAAACCTATTAATATATTTTCAGATGTTGTACTTCTTGGTATGTTTTTCAGAGACCTGCAGGCCCGGCCCCCGGGCCGGACAGTACTTTAATTTTTTTAAATATACCCGGGCCGGGCCCGAAATTTTTTTAAAAAAACACCCAAGCCGGGCCTGAATTATTTTAAAAAAACACCCAATCCGGGCTGTATTTTTTAAAACAGCCTATATTTGAAATCGTTATTATTAGCTATAAAAATCAAAAATAAATATAATTTATTTTTAAAAAATCTGGGCTGGGCCTGAAAATTTTATTTTAAAAAAAATTCGGTTAAAAAAGAGAATGTTCTCTCATTAGTTTACTAATGGGAAGAGTTTATAAACCCTTTTAATACATTGGGAATTTAATTTAAAATGTGTTTGAAATAATGCAGAGCATCCATAGCATTTTTTGAGACTATATCAACCATAGTTAATCTTATAAACATAGTTATCCAGCTAGTAAGGCATCATAAGATACTTTAACATCTTCATAATAAAAATCTAACAAATATATTTTTTTCTATCATCATCTGAAAAAGGTTGGGAAGGCTTTTGTGGAAGTAATATTTGCAGATTAGTAAGTGCTGCATGATGAATTAAAAATTCATTTATTTGGGTTATAAATATATCTGTATCTAAGATATACTCTTCTACTGATCCTATATTAATGTTTTAACGATGAGCTTGCCTTGCTACAAGTCGAGGGAGACAAATATTATGAAATTCTTCATCAACATTAGCCCTAATTTCCTTGAGTTCTGATAAAATGCTCTCCGCTATTCTCATCTTCTTAATCAAGTCAATGTCATGTTTTTGAAAAGTAATACTTAAAATAGTTGTATAATTAAATAATACATTCTAATGTGAAATAAAATTTGGAATAAGCATTGAATCCAATAATTTTCTTGCTTCTGAGGAAATATTTCTTTCCGGCCATTGTGATATTTCAGTAATAGCAAATAATTGGCTCTTCTAACTCCTTAAATGCTGTTACTGCTTGATGGCAGAGACTCTATCTCGTTGGACAAGGTTGCTATTTCTTTTTCCCTGTTGGACAAGAAGTTTCAGAAATAATTATTATTTGACTAGAAATTTGAAAATGGTAGATAAATATTACGCCACTAAAAATTTGAAAATAATAAGTAAATATTACACCGGAAAACTTGAAATCGAAATTAATTGATAAAATAACTTAGTAGATAAATGTGATAATAAATGTAATTAAATATATATTTATTATGAGATACGAATAAATATTAACAAATATAAATTAATATAAACAATAATATTTTCGAAAAATATATCCGGTATCTTCATTTTTTGGCTTTGGGGGGGTATTTGTCTACCTGCCCCCCCCCCGCTGCGTACGCCAATGGTAATTCTAATTAAATAATTTGATATGCAAAAAATTGTCTGTCATTGAGAAATAAAAATAATTCCAAAAAGAATTATCAAAAATAAGAAGAAAAAAGATCAGAAAAATAAAGATTAAAAATGACTTAGATATTGAAAAGGTTAGTAATGTATGTAAAAGATTACAATATAAGGTGAAAAAATAAAGTCAAAATATTGTTGGGATTATTAAAAAATGACATAAAAAATGGATTAGAAGAAGTGAAGAAAAATAACAGGAAAAAATTATAAAATATTTTTATAAAAACAAAAGTGAATTATCAAAAATGAGAAGAAAAATAAATTGAGAAAAGAAGTAAGAGAAATAAAGTAAATAAATCGCAAAAAGTAGAAATAAAATAAGAAGGAATAATAAAAATAAATAAAAATTGACAAGGAAAAAATTAAAAAAAAACGATTTTCCTATTCTGAATGGGAATTTTCCTTTTTTGATTGACACTTTTCCTTTCCTTTTGGGAATATTCTTTTTTGATTGAACCTTTTCCTTTTTTGATCCTACATTTCCCTTTTTGATTGGACCTTTTCTTTTTATGATTGACCCTTTTCCTTTTTTGATAGGACCTTTTCTTTTTATTAAAACTTTTTAATTTTTGATTAGGACTTTTCTTTTTTTGAATGGGAAACCCTGTATAATTTACGAAATAAGTTTCGACTTCGAGATTTTTAAAAACTAAAATTTAACTTATCGTTTTCTTATTTAAGAAAAACCCCATCCCCTATTTTTCTTGTTTTCTAGATTTAGCAAAAATATTTCTAGATTTAGCAAAAATATTTCTAGATTTAGCAAAAATATTTCTATAGGAAGTCAAAAAAAATCTGTTAATATACGAAATAATTTTTATTAAAATATATATTGAAAGTGCATTAACCTAATTGAGTGGGGGAGGGGGCAATTGCATTCTTTTGACCACTTCTTTTCAGGTCTTTCCAACATAACTCATAAATCGATCTTAATAAATGAAGGATTTCATATTAATAACTACTTTACTAATTCTCAATGAGATTTATAATCTATGTTTTTTTTTAAATATTGAATTTCGGTTCGGCCCAAATTTTTGGATCCTATCCTATATATCATAAAAATTGGATTATAATTCATTATTATTTTATATTCTCGACTTTTCGATTCTCTAATTATAATCACCCACTCTTGTAGTTAAGATAATGAATCAGATTGGCCTAATAAGTCAAATGCCGGACCGAAGGCTTTCTGATAACCGGCGTTATTGGTCTGAACCGGACCGTTGTCTTTTACTAGTTTAAGCTAGAGTTCTGAAACGGCAGGGTTAAGAAAAAAATTAAACTTTGGGTGGGCAAATTTAGTTGAATGCGCCTACAGTTATTAAAAGCATATTTATTTATTTTTTATATAAAACTTTATATTTTATAAGTTTATGTAAAAACTAAAATAAAAGAGTCAGACCAATCAAATAACTTAAATATTGGGTAGGAGAATCAAAATTTTTATATGCAGGGACGGGGGGGGGGGGGTGCTAGTTTTGAAACAATATGCATGCGGGTTATAAAAATTTGTTCATTATAGACCTCTATATCAATGACATATAATAATACCTAGACTGACGATTCATTCATTAAAATGCATTTTTAAGCGTCGTTAAAAGCAAATCAGCTGGACCCGCCATTTTGGTAACCTTTATAATAATTATTTTCATGTTAAAAACTAATATTAAATTGATAACTTACTTTCTTATTATCTCGATGATCAGGCAATTCTTTAATAAAGTTTGCATCAGATATAATATAAAATTAGGCTCTCGTTTAAAATTTTAATATTTATTACAGTAACCAAGATGGCGTCTCTAGCTGATTTGAATTGATGTACACTTAATGAATGAATCGTCAGTCTAGGTATTATTATATGTCATTGCTCTATATTTTCTCTAAAAAGTTATAATTTATAAAAAAAATATTTCTATTAAATAAGCTAGCACAATTTATATTAAAAACGTCTCGTTCTTCTTCCATAGAAATAGCGTTGAACAAAATTGTGTCTCAATTCAAAAACAAATCCTGGGATTATCAAACTTCTCAAGTATAATAATATTGCTTTTTCATTTACTCAAATCTGCTTTATAGAAAGTTTTTTTCTCCCTAATTGCTAAATCTATTGTGGACTTAGTGTTCTTAAAAGGTTCGATTAACGGCTACAATATTTTAGCCCAAAATATTACTTAAACTTGGAGATTTTTCTTGTAGATGACAGAAAGATTTGGACATCGATTAACTAAATCTCGAGGCTTGCGTATTATTATTTTGGCTAAAATCTTAATTTAAAATTGGTAAAATCGAGCCGTTTAACTGGACTAAATTGAAATTTAAAATAAATTTTACTCATCAGATAGAGTTTACTAAAAATAAAAAATAATATCATCTAAACAAAATATCAATTCATAAAGTTTTATCACCTTTTTTTAATCAATACTTAAGTGTAATTAAGCGCGATATATTATGTGGGGAGATATGAAAACGGGATGGGATTCCAGCGATTTCAATAATTTATAGTGTTTGAAAAAAAAGGAATACATTTTATTTGATTACAATATTAAAATATTCACAGTTGGGTACGTATCATCTATCCCTCGTGCTTCTCACTTTCACATACCTGCCCGAAGAAGTATATTGATTAAATTATAATATTTTATGCGCACGTCTATTTTCTCAAGCTTAAATGATTTTTCGAATAATAAGCATAGAATAAGATTGGTTGCTCATACGGTTAGAAATTTTTTTTTATTGAAGCAACCTAATCTTCTAATTTATTTTTATTACAAGCATCTATGAATTATATATAAAAAAAATATATAAGATTCAAAATAACTCATTTTTAATATATTATTTGAACTTATAAGTAATATATTTTCAAGTATAAATGGATTCCAGAGATCTCATAGATATTAAAAAACTGAAAAATACCGATAAAAACATGCCTTAAAATCATTATAAGCGAAATTTAAAAAAATAAAAAGTTATCTTTTTTAAAAATAAAATGAATGAGTTTAAAATGTTTGTAATAAGGATTTCCGGTAACTTATTGATTGTATTATATTTTAAGAAGATGTTGATATTTAAACATTTAGCAATAAAATATTGGTAAATTATTTTTTCTATAAGGACATTATTAGTTTTCAATAATGTCCTTGATTTTTAAAATTATTTCTAAATTTAATTTAACATTTAATTTCGAGTATACCTTTTTTATCATTTCATATATCAAGCACGTTGGTCATCGACCTGCCCAAAGTGAGTGAACGTGAATTACATGGTGGCCCGCCCTCCATATAACTATGCCGATTTTTTCCTTAAGGATACCCATAACTAAATAATACTATAATCGGATAGGGTGTAGTTCCAATCTTTTATGATAAAACTACTGATTTACAAGGTTTGTATAAGAGAGAAGAAAAGAAGGCTATTTCTTCCAAATACAAAATAGTTATTATTTAATTATTTAGAGTTTCCGTTTAGCTCTATTTAAAAAAAATTTTTTTTTTAAAAAATCTACTAGTATTTTAAATATTTAGCAATTTCCTATTATGAAAAATAATTAGTTAAATTTTATTTAAGTTATAAATATTTATAATTAATATTTAAATTAAATACCTTAATATACCTTATTACTTTATAACTGACTTAAATTGGAACTAATAATATCCATGAAGTATCTTAATATCTTTACTTAAAAAAATTTGTTTCCTCTCAATCATTTCTTATTTAAATAAAAGTAATGTCATTTCTTAAAATTCCTTCAACAGACATTAGTTATATAGAAGCTGAATAACATTTCTTAAAATATTATAAGTTGAATAATATTGGAGGGCTTTCTTAATATAACTTAAAATATCATATTAAATATTGACTAATTATATTAATATTATATATTAAGTGCTAACAGTTAAGGAATATAAGATGACTTACTTAAAATATCTAAAAAAAATAATATTGGATACAGACTATTTCTTTAACAAAAATTTTTTTTTATTTAAGTTTTACTTAACAGTCATTCGTCAGATGTTCATAAATAAGTCTTAGAATTTTTTATAAATTTTCCTATCAGCAGAAGCTAGTTTAATGAATTCTCAGGAAATACCTTCCGTTAATGATCTAGTTATCTTGCCGAAACAACTGTTTTTATGGGTTAGGAAGAATTTGAGGGTTGACTTCTCAGGGGATATTATAAAGAGTGCTTCATATATTAAATTTTTAGGAGCTTGTCTCATGATATGACCTACTAGTTCTATTTTTCTGTATTCTACCATTCTATAAATTGGGAGTATGTCACATCTGGATCAAAGAATATAGTTAGTTGTATTATGTGGGAAGAAGGTTTTGGTTATATATCTAAGGCATTTATTAACAAAAGTTTGTATCTTATTTTTATCATATTTAGTGTCACTCCAAGTTTCGATACCATAATACAAGGAAGTAAGTATTAGAACCTTGAATAGACGGATCTTCAATGGTATTGATATTTGATTTGGTGGCTATATTTTCATTAAATTCCTATATTTTAATCTAGCACTATTTAATTTGGCTATTATTTGTTTAGTATTTCCCTTCCTGTCTAATATTACTCCTAAATATTTTAAGTGTTGAACCTCTGCAATCAACTTCCCTTGAATCGTTATATTCACATTCGAAGGGGTGACTGATTAGGTCATCATCTTAGTTTTATTAATGTTTGTTTCTAACCAAAGAATCTAACTTCATCGATTATATTATCAACTAATAAGTGAAGGTGTAATGATAATTCTCCCACCAGACAAAAATCATCTACAAATTCCAGAATATTAAGGTTCCCAATGGGCATCTGAATAGCACAAGATGTTTTGGCTTTCTTTATGATATAATTAGTAAAAAAATTAAATAGAATGGGAGATAAAACACATCCCTGTTTCAATCCATTTTTTATGGGGATTTTCGGGGATTTCTTCCCTGCATGGTTTTTATAAATAATTTTTTTTAATCATATTTATCAGATGTGTTGGTGTGCCTACCTCTAAGGCCTTCCGCAAACTAGCATGAATATGAATCAAATGCCTTTCTGAAATCAAAAGCGATAATAATCAAATGTCTTTTCCGTATAATAGATCCTTCGATTTGAATTTTTAACGCAAGAATGGCTTCGAGTGTATTATGCCCCCTTCTGAACGATACTAGTGAGTCTACGTAATCATATTCCACTAATGGTCTGAGTCTATTTAGGATAATGTTGACAAATATCTTATAGTTTACCGAATTTAGTGAGATCCCCCTCCAGTCTTCGAGACATTTAGGACTCTTTGTTTTTTTGGAAATTGATAAGGATACCTGTTAGCCAATCACTTGGGCAAGATCCCTCCCTTCAGACTCTGGTAATGATTTGGAGGAGGATCTCCGTGCATAAAATTTGGTCAGTTTTCAAAAACTCATTATGTATATTATCATGCCCTCAAGCCCTATTTTTTTTTATTATAGTTATTATTTCACTATTGATAGAGGGGGGGATTCTATCTGTATTTACTGTTTGAGTAATTGGTGGGGATTGTGTGGATGGGATCGCGATAAATCGCATTGAGCAGATGAAAATTTGGATATCTCACTATACCAAATTTTATAGTGAAAAGGAAATTACTCATTCGCCAAATAATATTTCAACTAATTTAATATCAATGTCTCCTACTGACTATTCTAATCTGCCATCCTATCATCACTCACTACAATATCATCCTTAACGATCTTCTACTTCTAATATTTGGCCACCAAAACCGTGGGAATGCTGATTTTGGAGATCGAGAATTTAAGGCAGAAAGTCGTAGAGGTTTTGGGAGTGCTGGTTTTGGTGGCCAAAAATTAGAGGTAGAAGGTCGTTGAGGATGATATTTTAGTGAGTGATGATTAAATGGCAGGTTAGAATAGTCAGTAGGAGACATTGATATTAAATTAGTTGAAATATTATTTGGTGAATGAGTAATTTTCTTTTAACTATAAAATTTGGTATAGTGAGATATCCAAATTTTTATCTGCTCTATGCGATGTACCGCGATCCGATCCACACAATCTCCACCAACTACTCAAACAGTACATACAGATAGAATCCACCCCCCCCCCCATCAATAGTGAAATAATAACTAAAAAAAACAAAACAACATTAGGCTTGCGGGCTAGATAATATACATAGAGAGTTTTTGAAAACTGACCAAATTTTATGCGCGGAGATCCTCCTCCCAATCATTACCAGAGTCTGGAGTGAGGGATCTTGCCCAAGTGATTGTCTAACAGGTATCCTTATCAATTTTCCAAAAACAAAGAGTCATAAATGTTTCGAAGACTGGAAGGGGATCTCACTAAATTCGCTAATCTATAAGATATTTGTCAACATTATCCTAAATAGACTCAGACCGTTAGTGGAATATGATTACGTAGACTCAATAGTATCGTTCAGAAAGGGGCATAATACCCTCGAAGCCATTCTTGCGTTAAAAATTCAAATCGAAAGATCTATTATACGGAAAAAACAATTGATTCATATTCATGCTAGTTTGTGGAAGGCCTTGGAAGAGGTAGGGACACCAACAAAAAAATTCTTTATAAAAACTACTGGGTCCACTTAATTCAGAAAAGAAATCCCCGAAAATCCCCATAAAAATTGGATTGAAACAGGGATGTGTTTTATCTCATTCTATTTAACGTAATTACTGATTATATCACAAAGAAAGCCAAAACATATTGTGCTGTTCAGATGCCCATTAGGAACCTTAATATTCTGGCATTTGTAGATGATTTTTTCTGGTGGGAGAAACATCATTACACCTTCAATTATTAGTTGATAATATTATCGATGAAGTTAGATTCTTTTGGTTAGAAACAAACATTTATAAAACTAAGATGATGACCTAATCAGTCACCCCTTCGAATGTGAATATAACGATTCAAGGGAAGTTGATTGCAGAGGTTCAAAATTTAAAATATTTTGGAGTAATATTAGACAGGAATGGAAATACTAAACAGGTAATAGCCAAATTAAATAGTGCTAGATTAAAATATAGGTCTTTAATGAAAATATGGTCATCAAATCAAATATCAATACCATTGAAGATCAGTCTATTCAAAGTTCTAATACTTACTTCCTTGTATTATGGTATCGAAACTTGGAGTGACACTAAACATGATAAAAATAAGATACAAACCTTTGTTAATAAATGCCTTAGATATATAACCAAAACCTTCTTCCCACATAATACAACATATCTATATTCTTTGGTCCAAGGTGTCACACTCCCAATATATAGAATGGTAGAATACAGAAAAATAGAACTAGTAGGTCATATCATGAGACAAGCTCCTAAAAATTTAATATATGAATCACTCTTTATAATATGACCTGAGGAGTCAACCCTCAAACCCTTCCTAACCTATAAAAACAGTTGTTTCGGCAAGATAACTAGATCATTAGCGGAAGGTATTTCCTGAGAATTCATTAAAATAGCTTCTGCTGATAGGAAAACTTATAAAAAATTCTAAGACTTATTTATGAACATCTGACGAATGACTGTTAAGTTAAACTTAAATATAAAAAAATTTTTGTTAAAGATATAGTCTGTATCCAATATTATTCCTTATAGATATTTTAAGTAA